AATTACTAATTTTTTCAATTTTTTTACTTAAAATTCCTATAACTTTTTCAAAAATGAACAAATCAATATACATTCTTTTTTATAGATGCATAATATCATTACCTTTCATTTGGTATATTTTTTTCATAAATTAAATCCTTAATCTGTCCACAAGGGGGGATTTAAAATGACCACTTTTTCAAAAAAAATTATCTTTTTCAACTTAACTTTTGAAAATGTTCCGGAAAGTCTGACTCTTTTATATATATCTTAAATTAAAGCTAATGTAATGTACTTTATTATGGAAAAAAGAAATTTCGGACTTCATTTTGTCTTCACGGTGAAAATGGCTACCGAATGCTATTATTGTATGAAAATTCTCGATTTTATTTTTTACATTTTTAACTTTATAATGCTATGACCAGTGCTCGAATTGGCCAAAAATAAGTAGGGGAGCTCAACTTAACAATTTGAAAACTGCGTCCCTTGCATTTTGAAGACCTTTTTTTTACTCATTACTTTATTTAGTATTTATTAATAAATTATATTTCATTATCATACTAATATTAAAAAAAAAAAAAAAAGAGGGGGTATTTTCCACCGTCCTCATAAAAAAAAGTAGTTGGGGTGCGCAAAAAATTTTTAAAAAAAGTAGAGGAGCTACCTGCGCACCCCCCCAATTCGAGCACTGGCTATGACACATTGAAAAGTGTATGGATCAACATTATTTTTTTATGAGAAATAATATTTTTTAATAATCCCTTTTTCATTCGACATACTTTATCTTAATTAGGATATTAATAATGAACTAGCAGATCATGTAGCTTTTGGAATAATCCACCAATTTTTAAAATTAAACACTATCTAAGATTTGCATCGAAGCGTTTTTTTTTTTGATAGTTATTTTAATCACTGTCAGATATCATAATACTTGATCCAACTGTGCCACGTCCTCACTGTGCCGCGACCCCCCTGTGCTGGGTTTTTTAATGTAAATAATAATGTAACATATTTTTTAGAACTCTCATAAATTATTATTTGTTACATTATATAATAATAGCTTTTCTAGAAGTACACTATCACCAAAATACCTCCAACAATTTAACTACCAAAATTACTATTTTATTACAATTATTTACTATTATTATTTTAATTTCAACTTGAACCTTTTTTATAATAATCAATTATTGAATGGCCAATTGATAGAAAAATGAGACCAATAACATTCGATAAACCAATGAATGTATACAGAATTTGTCGTTAAGAGTATAAACACACAAAAAAATAAATAAATATTTTGTAGAAAAGACAGACCTTACATTTTTGTAAATAGAAACGTAATAAATAAAATTAGGAAGTGTAATAACAAATAAGAGTGGAATGTATATGTTTAATTTTATATATATGTTTAATTTTTTTAGCTCATTAGATACTTTTTGTATTACAGTTTTTGATGGTATACCTTCTACTTTTCTAAAAGTTTGTAGCTTGATAATATTGACTCCGTTACAAATATTATATGATAAATTCTTAAATTTAAGCT